GGAGAACAAAATCTACATGTCTGAGCCATTGTATGCGGATCCATACGACTTGGTCCTTCGATTGGAAATCGTTGATATTGCTACCGGCGCATCCAAAGTGAAGCCCGTCCAGGAAAAGATGCAGGGTTCCGAGACTCTAGGTTGGATTCGACCCAATCTCTAGAAGGGAGGTACGTTGATGTTCTTCAAAGGTTTATTACTTCAAATACTCATATTAGGGCAAGCGCGGTTGTGATGTTTTTCGCTTCTGCACATAAGCAGTGGCTAAAAGAATTCGATATATGCCACATTTAGTTATTACTATTAGTTCACGAATTGAGTTAATTCAAACAAAACCTTAACTGATGTACATTATATGTACGAATGCAGCCAGTTCTCTCATTTTATATTTAACTAGGTACCGTGCCCGTGCGTTGCTACGTGACAACTAAATCTTTTGTTCTAAAAACACACGGATCGCACGATAAGATAACAATACTGTTAAATTAAATACCGACGTTAAAGTGACATTTAATTCAAAAAGTAAAGTTCGTGAAATTAACATAGTCACGGAGAGCGTGGCGTCGCAGGCTCACAAACTCTACTGTATAGACTTTTTCGTGATATGGCTAAGATAATATTTTATATCGGCAAAAAGAATTCTCCGATATCCATTTCTTGCATACGCTAATAAATCCATGAATAAGTTTCGTTGCATCTCCATATAATCCTGTACGCAAAGGTTTGAGTATATATGTAAATATTAGTGCATGTCACATGGATAATACTGCGTGTCTTAAAAAATCTCTCATAAAATTTTAAAACAAAGTATGTTATACTCACCGTATAAATATATGTGGTTTTAGGACTATTCCACACAGACATATATTATAGAATAAGATATCCACTTGAGTGTATGTTTCAAGATGTTGAATTAGGTGTTGTAATTCTTAATTTTGACACATTTTTCAGGTCAAGGCAACCAATGGTGACACTTTTCTTAGTGGTGTATAATTTTATGGTGCACCTCTTGACTATCTGAGTAAGGACAAGTTAGCACTGCAAAGGTTCAGAAAAGCTACTAAGAAGGTCAATATTGAGTTTTCCTCCACTATGCATACTAAAACATATGTCTCCGTTTATCATTGCCGATACTTTTGATGCAAAGCAATTCAACATTACCATGATTAGATATAAGTTTGAGTCTCTTATGAGCAATCTCATAGAGGGACTTTCATCCTTTATGTGATCTGCCTTAAGGATATTGACAGGACGATGGACCCATGTTGAAATGTCGTACCAAAAAGTGTCCACGTTTTGTCCACGATTTATTTTTTATGAATACATGCGGGTACTATGATAACACTAACTACACCAAATAAAAGATTAGAGAGAATTTGCATTGCCTCCAGAAAGATTTATTTATTAAGTTCTTTGGACTCTACAAGTAGTTTTGAAATATCTGTTTGCATGTCTTACCTCGTATCCTAATTCAAAATTTTATAGTTTAATTAGAATATTTAGGTGATTGTATATATATAATATTCAATACAAGAATAATCTATGCATGATCTTCTTGAAAGATTTCTGTAGTATAAAGACATCTTCGTTTTTCATGCATGCTCGTGCTAACGCTACGATAAAAACAAAATGACAATATATCAATTAAAAAATAAAAACAAAACTCATGCTCAAAGTCAAAGAGATAAATTATGGATGCTTGAATTTTGTCATCCATTATCTACCGGCATGCCTATAAAATAAATTAAATAAATAATTAAACATAGATAGAAAACTAAATTAATGAAAGGATCATTGCAAGACATCAATCATCTCATAGCTTCGGGCAATATCGCAAAGCTACTAAAAACTGTAATCGTGCCCTCACCTCAAACATTGTTTAGATAAATGGATTACAATACAAGAAATAGATATCGGAGATTTCTTCCTGCCAATATAAAACATTATCTTAGCCGCATCACGGAAAGGTCTATAAAGTAGAGTTTGTGAGCCTGCGACGCCACGTACTCCGTGACTGTGTTAAATTCATAAACTTTGCTTTTTGGATTAAATGTTACTTTAACGTTGATATTTAATTTTTACAGTATTGTTATCTTATCGTGCGATCCGTGTGTTTTTAGTATAAATTATTAGTTATCTTGTAGCAACGTACGGACGCTACCTAGTATATATAAAAATTATTGGTTTTTTATTAACCACCAATTAAACCATGCGCGTGAGACAACATGGTGCCCTGGTGTAATTTGCAACATGTCACTTCTTGAAACACTCACAAAACTGAGAACCATCACTCACTTTGGAAACTTCTTGATCTAACTGCCATGTGGGTCCACTTACTGGGCCACTTAAACATTCTTGTCACATATGCATGTATACTTTAAAACTGTACGTATTTGCACGTATCATGTATATCCATGTACTGGTGAGCTGCTGGTCAGAACTCTGATTTAGGATAATGCTGGACAAAACACATGATGCGCTTGCATTGTTCACGAGGATTCTGAGCAGAATTTATAATATTTTTTCATTATTTTCACTTCTTTCTTGCTGGCCTAAAATGACAAAACATCATCGAACAACTACTACACAAAATCTTTTACGATGCGTTTTCAAAATGACCTCGGAGACGGGGGGCCAGCTGCCCGCCTCGGTTATTCGTGGCAGGGCAGCCGGCCCAGCAACCACCTCGGTTAATACTTAACCGAGGCGAGGCAATGTAAGAGAACCGCCTCGGGTTAATATATTAACCGAGGCGGTTAATACTTATTAACCGAGGCGGTTCCTTTACATTGCCCGCCTCGAAAAATCTAGACCAGACCCAGCAAAAAGCCCATATCCAATCCACCTATCGGGCTTATATATACAGGAGTTAGGGTTTCTCATCTTCCACTCTCTCACCTCTCCCTCCCTCCCTCAGCCGTCTCTCCCTCCCTCACTTCTCCCTCAGGTACCGCTTTCTCTCCCTCCCTCTCTTCTCACGGCGCGGCCTCGCGCGGGCGCAGGCGCATCCTCGCGTGGGCGCGACGGCCCTGTGGCGCGGGCGCAGGGGCCTGGCCTCGTGGCCTCGCGGTCACGGTGGCCTAGCCTCGCGGCGGCCCGGCACCGCCGCCTCGCGGGCGCGGCGTCCCGGCCTCGCCCCTCCTCCCCTGCGACGACGCCCCTCCTCCTCCACGACGGCGCCCCTCCTCCCCCACGCCCTCCTCCACGACGACACTCCTCCTCTCCCACGCACCTTATCTGGTGGTGGAGCGGCCGGATCTAGCCGCCTGTGCTCCCCCGGCGGCAGATCTGGTTCTGGAGTTGCGGATCCGGTGGTGGTGCGACCGGATCCGGTAGCGGAGCCGCGCGGAGCAGGTAAGCTCGCCAGTGGGCTCTGAAACGGACTCACAGGTGGGCTCTGGGTTTTTTTTATTTTTTTAATTCATTAACCGTGGTGGGCATTTGCAAGGCGCCCGCCTCGGTTAATCTATTAATCGAGACGGTTGGCCAACCACCTCCGTTAAAGATCTATTAACCGAGGCGGTTGGCCAACCACCTCCGTTAAGGCCGGATTAACTGTGACCTTTCGACGGAAGCCATTTTGCCCGTCTCGGTTAAGATTCCTGTAGCAGTGGATAATGATAATAATTAGTACTCCCTCCGTTTCAAACTATAAAATATTTTAGCTTTTCTAAATGTATTGCTTTTACTATATGTATATATATATATATATAGTGTATATCTAAGTACATAGTAAAAAATATATCTAGAAAAGTCAAAACATCTTATAATTTGAAATTGAAGGAGTATTACAAAATATGGATATGTATACCTAAAGGAAGTTTCAAAACAAAGAACATAGTTGACAGGTATTTCTCTAGCCAGTAGAGCCCATAGTGGGCCAAAATGATTCAGGGAGGCCATCATACAGCAAGTTTGCATCTCAGATAATGATGTTATTACTCGATTTAAGACATTGTCATATAGGAGTAATAGTGTGTTGTCCAATGAGCACAGATGCTATACGTGGATAAAATTGCTGAATTTGAAATGCTACTCTTTCACAGTTCAATCCAAAAAGTACAGGAAACTAAAATACCTTTTCTTTTTCCTCTCAAGTTCTATTTACCCCCAGGTAATACGTGGACAAAATTGCTGAACTTAAATGCTGCAAAGGGAGTCGAGATAATAAAACCGAGAAGAAAGCGTTTCCTCTCCATTCTGTTACCAAACTACAACCTTCAAAATATCTCCTCAGAATAAGAGACAGAAAACTTCCCTACCAACGAATAGACCTGCCCAACTTTTTCCTCTTTTATTGCTCAAAAAAAAACTTTTTCCTCTTTTTTTTCAAGAATAGACCTGCCCAGCTTTTTTTTTTCAAGAAACCTGCCCAATTTCTCCAATCCAGCACGGTGTAAAACAACAATACGTGCAGGCAGGTGAGGGGTGTAAAAAACAACAATACGTGCAGGCAGGTGAGGGGGATTTAAAATCGGTCGTCCCTATCTGATGACCCGATAAATAGGCTAGTTGAGGCTTCTATGGGCAGTTGGCTCAACTGCTCAATCAAATCAAAATATCGCCACGACCAAAAAATATAAAAAAATAAGCATGACAACAAACGCATCACAAGCATCCTCCGTTGTGCAGATGACTATACCGTAGCCTTACATGCTCAGGATTTCATAATCCTCGACCTTTAATATACAGGGACAACAATGCAGTGCAAGAAAATGCAAAATCTCAAAAGGTTATAAGAGCACAACCCAAGCAAATACTTATATAGTTATAGTTGCAATCCACAGGAACATAATAAACCGTGACATCCAACAGACACCAAACTGACGACACAACACGCAGCCAACCACACAAGGTATGCTGCACCACACGACAATTAACAGTTTTAGACATTGTCACTACGAACACTGACACACGACCACACCAGACAAGTAAAAGGAACTTAATTGAAATAATAATATTAAGTGTAGCATGAGCAGCAGTAGAGCAGCGTCGTCTCTTCACTCATCGTCCTCTTCCTCAGACTCGGCGCTCTGGAGCCACTCAACGAAGGGCTCGGCGTTCTTGACGACCTGGGAGTCCTTTCCAGCTGCAACAGCAGCATTGTACCAGTCCACGATGGTTTCTTCCTCCAGGATATCTCCATCGTACAGGGCTTTCAGGACGACTGGGACCTCCTTCAGTGCCTCAGGGCTGCACTTGCCGCCAAAAGCCTCAATGGCCTGAACCAGCAGTGTCTGGGCACCCTCATCTGGAACAGCAACAGCAAGGTACTTCTTGTTCTTCACAACCTCCTTCGCGAATCCCTTGCCCACACCATCAAAGAGAGACTCGAGGAGAGCATTCATCACATCCTGGGGAGGAAGGGTTGAGGAGGCCAGCACAGCCTTCAGCTGGGTAGGGGTAGGAGCACTTCCCAGGCTAGCCTTGATGTTTCCAACCAGTTCTTCATAGGGACTAGGCTTAGTGACAGCAGGTTTCTCATCAGGTATTTCTTTTGCTGAACCATTAGCAGTGCCATCTCTGTGGGTTGCCTGTTTTTTCTTCTTCTCAGTCTCCTCAGTGGACAGCATCACCATTTCAGCAGTTGCTGCACTCAGCTGCTCCTGCATGCGCTGCTTCGCAGCCTCGATAGAAGTGTCAGTCTGCCACTGGACATCATCATCATCCTCTTCCTCATCTGCAGCTGCATGGTCACCATCACGGCTGCGAGTTGGAGAGGTTGAGTGGTCCTCATCAGAGCCAGCAGCAGTAGCCTTCTTCTTCGAACCCTTGGCAGTGGACTCCTTGGAAGATGCACCACCCTTCTTCTTTGCATCCTTCTTCAGTTTCTTCTGCTCCTCATCAGCAGCCTCACCTTCCTTCAGGCGTTCCTTCTCAGCTCTCCTCATGGCCTTCTTGTCTTTTCCTCCCTTCTTCTGTTCTGGTGGGTTTTTCAGGATGAAGGTTGTGAGCTTGTCCCTCATGTCAACATCCGAGACAAACCCACAGGCTGCACATTTCAGTGATATCATCTGTGTCTTTGAGATGAGAATTTCAGTCTCAGGATTCCCACATCCATAACACTGGACATACTTCTTGATGAATACCTCAAGGAGACCAGCCAGCTTTGCAGTATCATGAGCCCCATTAACCAAGGAAATCCCTGTCTTCTCATCAAATTTGGACTGTGCACCAAGCTCACATCCAAAGTACTTGGTTGTGTAGGAAGCTGGCCTGGCAAGTGCTTTTGCTATGTCAGCCATGTTTACAATATTTGTCTTGATACCATTACCACGACCTTCTATCTTGGTGATCATTCTGGGCATCTTGTACCTGTAGAAGGCATCATCCCTGTTTGAAGCACCAATGTTTTGCAGCGCCATCTTGGATAAAGATCTATGAAGTTGGTGCTATCAGATGTGACAGTCCAGAATCGAGAGTAGCTGCTGATCCTTCGAAAATACCAAGCCGACTCTGAGCACCAGCAAACGACACCTCAAAACAAGGAAACCAGATGGGCTCTTGATGCATGCAGTGGAACGGAACCTTGTGCCTTTTCCTCGTCGTGCGAGAATACTCTCCCAGCAATCCCAAATAGAGCAAAGATTGTTCAGACATAAAAGAAGCAGCAATTCCTAAGCCCTCCACTTTGTCAGACTGCAGCAGAACAGTTGCTGCTACCTGGTACAGCATAAACAGAGGATTGAATGTCAGAAAGAAATCACACAGCGCCAATGTGTATGGGAACATCCAAGCTGAAAGTTCCATTGTAGGAAGGACAGCATATTACATTGTATGACAGAATAGCTAGTATTATAAACTGAGAGCAATTCAACCACGTATACTGATGGGCAACTAAACAAAATTATTACACTATCACCCAGAACAGAACCTTCATGCACCTACCCAAGTAACTTACAAACAAAGAGAATATGATTGGTTCAAAAGTATACATGGAGATCCCATCATTCATCATATTATTGTGTCAATTAAGAAAATCGTATCTCCTGGATGAATGCACTTTTAGTTTGATAGCTCACCAGCAAAGGAAACAATGAACTAAAAACAGCTGGGAAATAGTTCCTAACCAAGAATCCAAGTCATTGCATCCCATGTGCAGAATGAGATGGTGAGTACTGAAAACCATACCAGCATATAAAAGAACTAGTACATAGGTGATTATCATCCTCAACACTACAATTGTTTGGCAAAAGATACATCATCATTGCCAAATGTAAAATAAGACAAGCTAAACCCAAACAATAATAAACAACCAAATACCTATCGAAACAGAGCTAGAATGCACGTATGCCTACCAACATAAACCACAACATAATCAACTGCAGGCAAATCCAAGTGCATAAATATTTTAGGATCCCAAATATTGTCACCTATCCAAACAGAGCTAGAACACGTATACACAACAAATCTACACCCACAGTTGAAAAATTCATTAATCTGGCATAAACTGAAATCGAACACAACATAGCACATATCACATAAACTTAAACTTTTAGGATCCCAATTAATACCTATCCAAACAGACCCCCAACGCGAATATACAACAAATCTGTTGTACACGCACAGTAGAAAAATTCATTAATCCAGCATGGTCCTGTTCGTTTGTCCTGTGAGCCGTACTATTTCGGCGAACGAACGGTGTTTTTCTCTCTCGCAACGAATTAGCGAACAGTACCGCCGTGGTTTTTCAGCCTAGCGAACAGGGCCCATAAACCAAAATCTGACCACAGCCTAATCCGGGTGGTGTGTGTTACCAAGCAAACCCTAATTAAATCTAGTTAGATTCCTCACGGATACTCAAAACCTAGGTGGTGTTCCGCCAAACAAACGACCTGACCTGTTGTAGATGGAAGCGGTGGAGGAGGTCGCCGGCGAGATGCGCAGCTGATTGGGAGGTCTGGCCGCTATACGTGGATGAGCTGACGGGGAGCGGGAAGTGGAAGTGGAGCAGGGAGGACGGCTGGGTGGGGAGAGGGGCTGGCGGCAGCGGCGGTGCGCGGAGCGGGAGCCGAGTAGGGCGAGCGGTGGAGCCGGGGGTGGGGAGCGTTTTTTCTTTCTTTTTTTGCCAAGCCGTCGGTAGTAGAGGCTGGAGAGACGGAAGGGTCGAGGGACGCCCTTTTTTAATCGCCTGGGAAAAAATCGCGTGATGCAGTACAATCGACGTGCCGCCTCGTTCGGTTGGTCTCGTTCAGCTGATAAGCTAAAGTATCATCGTGGGCTGATTCGACGTGAGAGAAAAATATTATTTATTAGTTAAAAAATACGGTTTATAAGCCAAACAAGTTTAAATGAATAGGACGGTTCGTAAGGGAACAGATCTAGTATACAGAAATATACACACAAAAAAAAAGGTATGCGGTAGATGGTAGATTCACATTCAAGGTTTTTAATTTCGGTATCGCCAAAATTTCGGCCACCACCGAAATTACCGAATTTCGCAAATTCGGCCGAAATTTCGCCGAATTTTTTTTTAGAGATTAGCACATGAAGTATGTTTTTTCTAAAAAAATTTGGATCTAAACAAATATTAGTATGATTTATGACTACATATCTATTAAATAGAAGAATATGCAATATAAACAATAGAAAAATATAAGATTAGAGTTATATAGCACTTGTATTAGTGTATTAAAAAATTTCGGAGTTTTCTTTCGCCCACCACCGAAATTACCGAATTTCGTGAAATTCGGCCGAAATTTCGCCGAAATTTTGAACCCTGTTCACATTCCCTGCACGGCTGCACCTTCTGTTTCTTGAAACTTACCTCTGGCGGCCATTGTCTGATTCAGAGTCAGAGACCTATACAGTCAAGTTGCATGCTCTAGCAGCTTCAGATTTGTCCAGAACAACTCAACAATCCATGCTTCTTTCTGTACACTCACCAAGTTACAAAAATCAAACTAGTCCTAGGAGGCATATACAATCTAACAATCCTCACCAAGCCCATCAAATTTTCAGGAGGCGCATCGAAAGAGATAATAAACATGTGACGCGCTTCGAAACTCGTTACAGATAGTACAGTAGAGACGCACACTATGTTTGCAGTTGCAACGTTGCTTCTATCCTGCCCATCCATGGACATCACCTGGTCCAAATCAGCTGTCTTGGCATGGAATCCTGTGCTAAGTTGGCTCCATTCCATATTTTGCTCCATGCAAGAACAGGGACACAAAGGTCTGGATCGACGCAAGCACTTGTGAAACATCAGGAGCCGAAATGAATTGCTCTGAGGAAGAGCCAGCTACTCACTCCAGCTATCCTCGTCATCGTCATCAGCAACAGCCTGTTTTAAAAGAAATAATTATCGTTTAATCATAGATAATACAGCTATAATCGACTGAAATTGTAGCTAGGAAGAAATGGAATGACTTGTAACCTGGCGAATCGCATGGGCTCTCTCTAGAATGGCCACCACTTGTAAGTTCGTTTTTGGACCACCCATTACATTTGGTCTCTTTGCAAGAACAGGCTTCAAGTTGAAAGACTGTGAAACAAGTCAAATTGGTTTAAGGCACTTTTAGCTTAATTTGACTGTATTTGCTTTCATTAGAAAAAAAAAGAAACTGTTGTAATGATGGTGATGTGGCTTAATGCACCCTACAAGGATTACCTTGTTCTTTATCTGTTCCAAAAGTGTGTTCTTCTCATCTGAAAGCTGAACCAAAGTTGGAGCCTTTCTTAGCTATATAAAAGGGTAAAAGAGAAATGGTCAGGTGAGGATATTAAAATCATTTAAAACCAAATATGAAAGAGTCCTACATACCATGCTTCTGTCATGAGAAGTAACAGGAAGTAGAGGATATCTAGGTGATTTTGGTACTACATGAGTTGATGATTTTGACGATTCCTCTTCTAATGCAGAGGAAAACTCCCTGGCCTTGTCATCACAATCATGTTCGTCGTTTTTCTGTTGCGCTGGCAAGTCAGGATTCAGCATACCATCCTGTTTAATAGCACCATTTGGTCTGTTTTCTTCTGAATCTGCAACTTTGTCATTACCTGCAGCTGAAAATTCCTTTTCCTTATAATCTGCAAAAATTTCAGGCTTCTGGCTGGTCTTTTGTGCTGACAAATCAGAAGTGCACAAGCCATTGCAAACAGAAAGTCCATTGCTTAGTTGGTGTTTTCCTTCTTGTTCTGGTATGAATTTTATATTACCAAACACAGACCATGCCTCTTCCGGAACAACGATAAGCTCAGGTAGCTGCAATGTGTGCAGATTTTCATATTTTACTGAAGCAACTTCTGACAAGCATTCAACTTCTGACGAGGGAAATGGATTAGAATCCTGGGCATCATACTCCTCTCCTTCCTGGTGACGATTTTCATGACAATCCATGATAAGGATTTGATTTATCTCATGATCACTAGAAATGGTTGCCTGCACTACTTCATTCTGCAAACTCAAGCCTTTGTGCAGACTCTTTTCCTGAAGAACCCAAGTAGCTTCACTTTCTTGCTGTTTTACAGGAGGTTTTGGCCTTGGTGGTCTTCCAATCTTTGCAGGTAATGGTGATGACCCTGTCTGTAGCTTGTTTGTTCGCCACTGCATTGGTGGAAGAGGTGGAAGCGGTGGCGGCGCATCTTCAGAAGAACCATTTTGTTGTGCATTTCCATTAGTTGGATGAGAAGGAAGGATATTGAATGACTGCTGCATTGCACCATTAAGCATCCAATCGAAGCTTGAGATGACTGACGGTGGAACATCTCTGGAGTCAGGAGCTAGTGGATCTCCAAAAACTTCAGTACTGTTATTTACTGAATTCGATGGTTCCTGATACACAGCTTGATGAAACTCATGCTTTTCCTCTCTGTTTACAGTTAGTTCTGGAGTTATAGCCGCAGTGGTTGAGCTGCATAGTGGAACTTGCCCAATTTCCCCTACAATTTCATAGCTGCCGAGAATAGGATCTTGTCCAAATGTAGTTTTTGGATGTAAATAGTACTGTTCATTATCTGGCATGGCATGTTCGCTGTTGATAACTGACTCAGTTACCACATTAGGTAGATCAATATCCGTGAATGTTTCTGACAATGTAATATGCTCCACTTCAGGGCTGCCGAAGATCTTACATGCCACTGTATCATCTTCTTCTGCGAGAGTGAGTGGAGTTATCCGGCAAGGATCATCCAATTGCTTGGATGAAACCGGTGAAGAGATCATGCCATCTGAAACTACCTGCTCTTCTATATACTCGGCAGTTTCATCATCCAACACATATACATCAGATTTATTGCTTTCCTCAATATCTTCCACATTCACCTGCTCCGTGTAAATGCCGACTTCCTTCAAGTCTTCACACTTATCAGATGCATTTTCAGAAATGACTTCTGTATGAATGTCCTCATTCACTTCCTTGTCAAGATGTTCCTCGAACTTCTCTTGAGCATGCTCCAAAATATGGTTGATCACTCCCGTAGATGAATTCTCATCAAATGCAGTACTTGCACATCCTTCTTCCTCTTGGGAACTGCAAGATGTAATGATGCCTGTCAAGTAGACCATGTTGGAGTCCTGAAATCCATTTCCTTCATCAGGGACTGAATCATGTGGACTGTCAGTAGGTGGAACATCATGCTCCAGCTCATGGTTTACTTCTTCCTGCAGGCATTTTCTTGAATCCACATCATCATAAGGTGAATCTGACGGAATTTTGTGCACATCGTCACTCTCCTTGATTTCAACAGGAGGGTCATAAATTTCCTGGTACTTGACATCACATCCCACACCGTCTGCTTCAAAGTCATATAAGTCTCTATCTTGAGTGCCATCATACTTCAGTTCAAGGAGTTGCTTCGCCATGTACTGGAGGGAATCAGAGAAAGGGTCATGCTTCTTGGAGAGTTTCCTCGGCAGAATGCCAACTTTTGAAGCAATGAGCTCCATGTTGCCGACATACTTGGACCTCTTGCTTGCTATTTTCTTGAAGGAAATAGTTGCGATGTTGGAATTTTCCTTGACTTCCTTGGTCTTAGTAATATCTTGTGTGCCATTTGATACAACACTGGTGACACTGCCATTGCAGCTCTGTTCTTCAGTAGCTTGCTCTCTTACTCCAGATTCTGGAGCATTGAAATCTTCGGTGAGCAACTCCTCCAAGGAGCTAGCCCTCTCATGATCCCAAGAAGCTGGTTTTTCTTTGTCCAGCAGTTCCTCTAACGAGCTGGTCCTCTCATGTTCACCAACAACTGGTTTGGTGTGTTGTGTGGAGACAATGGCTTCTTCATACTGGTTACTCATATCTCTGTTTGGTGAGGCAACATCTGACTTGTCTTTCTTCTCCAAGCTGCTAGTCCTCGGTGCCATGGTGTTTTGAGCATTGGAGAATCTATTGTCTGAATCCATCCGATCGAAGGTACATTGTCCATGGCCCCTGTGTTCCGAATCTGTCTCCACTTCAGAATCCATCGTGGTTAATGCATCCATGTAGATATCAACTTCAGAGTTGTAGCCCTTGCTGCTTCCTGCTGACCGAGCATCTGAAGAACGTGACAGTGCTTCTTCAGAAATTGATCTGTTCTTGCGAACAGTGACCTTGCCTTTTTCCATGTTGACGGACGTGTCTACCATGATGTCTCTCTCTTCAGTGTCTGATTCAGGCGAATCATTCATAGATACATGCACTTTTGAGTGGTCACCTGTCACGAATTTATCCTCTGATGAAGGCTTTTCATACAGATTCTGCATAAGTGATCTGAAGCTTTGAAATACAGATCCATTTAGTTGGCGGTACTTCAGTCGTCTGCGGTTTGTAGGAACTTCATCCATAGCTTCACCAGATAAATCTGTCTCCAGTCTACAGAGATGGACAAAGTAACGTTTTTAGAATAAGTTAGCAGAACAATAGCATTATTAACACATTTCAAAGAGCGTAAGAGGAAAAGTACTTGGAGAAATTGTCGGCTTCATTTGGGGGTCGGAAAATCTCAGCATTCTGAAGGTTAGGCCTGATCTCCTGCAAGAGTGGGACAAAATGATTTTATGTTACCATCATTAAGTTCAGTCGAACGAAGTCATTCTCTCTTTTGGTGGACTGATTTTGTAAGTGCACAAAATAAAAACGTACAGCAATTAGCAGAAAAAAATATTCAATCTATTTATTTCCGGCATACAGTGGGTCTATCAAATTTCCTGAAGGACAGTTTACAGTGCTCACTTCAGCTACTGAATATACTCCATATGAATTTGGGACAACTTTGAAGTGTTTATTACCATGGATATCAGAGGTCTTCTTTCATTTTGAGTTCCTTCCAGCAGCAAGGTAGAACATGCGGAATCCGTCTTGAAGAAGGACGGGTCGGAGTATCTCTTCAAGCACGCCCCCTCGCCACCGATATCATACCTGCACGTTGAACAATGCTGCAACCATCATGATTCAGGTCTTCAGTTGCTACACGGTAGAGATATGTCATCATACTTGTCAAGCATGAAGAGTTTGGGTGGTCCGCGACACCGCTTGATTGAATCCATGATGAAGCGAGGCGTGTCACCTCTTGTGACAACCCCATGGTCCACCCTTGGATTTGAATGCCAATCGACACCTGCAAAAGGGATTTAATTATGGCTTTTACAAATGAGGGGAAAAAGCAGACTGATCTTGTTTTCTTTTCTGAAAATTGAGAAGTAGTGAAGGATAAGCAGCAGAAGAGAAATTTGCACTTGATACTGAACCCACCCCTATTAGAAGCAACATACAGATAGTCTCTCTGGCAGGAGTCTTTCTCTAGCAGTGGCAGCTCTGCCTCCAGCTGCTGCACTCGGAGCATGAGCCCGTGCCCTCGCGCAGACGTGCTCATCACCTCATCATACAGGCCGTGGAACACCTGTGCGGCAAATCTGCAACCGTACAATTGGGGGGAGTTCAGTTGCGTCATGAGCACAATATGAATTTGTGCTGTTCCTCTCTGAAATTCTGGTTTCTGCAAATGCAGCATGTTGCGATTCATGATGGTCAAACTTTGGTCTTTCTGTTGCAATTTTTTTTTCTTTGCTTCCATCCTCAGGTATCAGAAATTAATCAGAGCATTCTTGCATAGATGACGATAAGAAAAGTTTTTCGGTTTTGTTCTCTTTTTTTCCCTTTAGAAAGGGCAGCTATTTTTCGGTACAGGGTTGCTAGAAGTAATTGATGACAATTCACAATTATAGTACTTATTAGGAACGGAAATATTATGACAGAACACTGGTCTGTCTGTGCTGCTGAGCTAGGACAAGGCCACCAGCAGAGTTAACGACCTGAAAAGTCAAACGTCTAATACATCAATCACCTACCGTTTCTCAAAAAGGAGAAAGGATTCGAAAACCTACCGTTTTGTTCGTAACATAACAAAAGCATTAGGTGATCTACTACGACCGAAATCAAAGCAAATGCGATCGGTCCGGGAGTCATGACGCAGCAATTCGAAATGCATGACATCAACAACTCGTCCAGGAAAATGAAGATGCTCGAATCGAATGCAACGGGAGCGGAAGCGCAGAATTAAGACGAGAACAGCAAAATCCATGTTCATGGCGGACAAAGGAGAGCAGGACAGGAAGGACGGGAATGGTGTGGCGCACGTACTCGGCGAGGTCGCCGAGCTGGCGGAGGACGCCGACGAGTCCGGCCATGGCGACGCCATCGAGGACGGCCTCCGGGTCGTGCTGGTCGGCCGCGCGGTAGAGGTCGCGACCGCCCAGCGCGTACTCGTTCCCGACCGTGTGCCGCGACAGGGGCATTGCGCCACGCAATCCTCGAGACGCTTCCGCCGCCTCCTCCTCCTCGCTGCTGCTGCCGCTGCCGTGGTAGCTTTTTGCCCGACCAGGCGACCACCAATTCCGGCAGGAGCACGGCCCTGTTACACTTTGGCCGCCGCGCTACGCTAACGAAGCCGCCTCAATAGAGTGGCGAGCTAGGTGGTGGTGGTGCTCTTGCGGCGAGGTTGCATCAGGGCCGGCCTTTTGTTTCTTCTTCCTCCCGCTCGCTGTCTCGTACTTGCAGGTGCGTCAACACAAGAAGCAGCAGAGACAGAGATAGGGAGGGGAGGGAGACTCGGAGAGGGAGGTTCGTTTAGTTTTGTCCCTTGATTATGTTCGTGCTCCCTGGGCTGGGAGGTCAAGCGGGACCCACTAGGGGTGGGGTGGGGTCTACCGGGGGACTGGGGCGCTTCTTCATGCGCGGTGCATGTGAACTGGTTAACGAAGCCTGTGATCGCGTGCCCATTTACTGCCGTGCCCGTGCATCGGTTAATGTTCGATTCGCAAGGTAATTCTCGTGAGTGGTTACTGATTACAGTGAAATGAATCAGGGTGCCGTAGCCTTGGCACCAGTCATTATCGCTTCGTCATTTTTGCAGCGACATCATCATCGCACTCTTTTTTATAGCCTTTCCGCCGTCTTCCATACGCCTTTCCAATGTCACGGATGAGAATAGAGCCAATAAACTGCTTATGGCTGGGTTTAGTTCCAAAAACTTTTTCAAAAAGTGATGTAGTAGCCATCACATCGAATCTTGTGATACGTGTATGGAGCATTAAATGTAGACGAAAAAAAACTAATTGTACAATTTGGTTGGAAGGCCCCGTTCGTTTGTCTGAAAAAAAAGAAGCCAAAACACTGTAACGGCTGGTTGTGTGAGAGAGAAATATTGCAGCGGATGAAAGATGAACAGTGTTTTTGTGAGGAGAGCAGCCGGCTGGTCTGAACTTTTCAGACCAGCGAACGCAGCGGAAATCGCGAGACGAACGTTTTGAGCCTAATTAGTCCATAATTAAATACTAATTGTTAAATAAAAACGAAAGTGCTACAATATCAAATTCCTAAATTTCGCAAACTAAATACAGCCTATGTTTACTCTCTGATGGAAACTGATTGCGTTTTCTATGTTTTCCCGTAGACACACCTCACTGTTTTTCTCATTATATAGGAGTATATCATAAGGGGGTGTTTAGTTTCACGGACTAAATTTTAGTCCATGTCATATTGGATGTTTGATACTAATTTGAAGTATTAAATATAGATTTAATTACAAAACTAACTGTACAGATTGAGATTAATTTACGAGACGAATCTATTAAGCCTAATTAGTTCATGATTTGATAATGTTGTGCTACAATAAATATGTGATAATGATGAATTAACTAGGCTTAATAAATTCATCTCATAAATTAGTCTCCGGCTGTATAATTAGTTTTATAATTAATTTATGTTTAGTCCTTTTAATTACGATGTGACATGACCAAGCTTTAGTGTCTGCACCAAACACCCGCCCGAGAGCAGTTATAGCTACCGATCCCGATGATTCCATGCACATCATCGCCATGACGTAGTACTGGGCGGCATTTACTCTGGAACTCCTACGTGTACATCGTATGACTTGCGAAAGCTCTTTTTACTACGGCGCTGCCGTCAGTATCAACAGCAAATCCAGATTACCCGGTCTCTCTCTGGTAGAGAGGTAAATCCTCCAGGGAAAAAGATGCGTCACATGCTCTCTCCCGCGCATTACACGACAAGATCACTATTCACAAGGCTACAAGATTTTGATGCTTGGTTCGCCACAACAAAACGGCGCAAGGGCCCCGTTTGGATACCGAAAAATTTGGCAAAATGACAGCGCTTTTCGTTGTTATTTAACAATTAGTGTTCAATCATAGTCTAATTAGACTTAAAATATTCGTCTTGTGAATTTCGTCTAAACTGTGTAATCAGTTTTATTTTTTATTTATATTTAATGCTTCATGCATGCGTTCAAAGATTCGATGTGACGGAAAATCTTAAAAAATTTGGTATTTTGAAAGGGAACTAAACTGGACCCAGGACTAGCGACAAACCCCAACAAAAACTCAGGCCAACCCAACCGTCCACCTATTCCAACCAGATAAGACCAGCACAGTAGCATAGCTTACACGGGTGACGCGTGAGAGCACCAACAACAGAGACGCACACCCAGAAAAGGGACCGGGCAAAGCCAAAACCAACACTACGAAGGCCGCCACGAACAAAACCTAACAGGCTACAGCATTGCCGGCCGCTCGAGCAACGAACAAAAATGCAGATGCATGGCGCTCATGGGCGCACACGCACGTTCATCGACTTCAAAGCTACTCATACACAAACCTAACAGGCTAATTGAGGGCCACGAAGCCAACAGCAATCCCATAATGGCCAAATAGTAGGAATAGAAGGTTGCACGCCTCCCATTCCATTAGAAAAAGGCCGCCACGAAGCCTACCATCCCACTACTGAAATACGTGTTCAACAACCATGCCTGCGACCACTGGGTCGACACCTCTGATTCTGGCAATATACTATGGGCACATACACCTCATTCACCTTGACCCGGGGGGGGGTGACATGATTTTCTCTTCGCCTTCAAGCGAGAGACACGGCCATGACCCGTCCAGCTTTTACCACACTGTAGGCAACAACAGATAATCAAGACAGCCTATATAGGCACAATACTAGACTTGACAAGAGCAAAAGCAGAGTTAACATAAAGACTGAGGACCAAACCTGATTTAAAAGTGGCAAGAGTTAAACTTCTAAATTAAGTAAGTGCTTTCCAAAAATACATGGCCGGAAAGCAGATACTGTGGCTTGATTTCGGAAAGGCGGAGCCAAAAATCTTACGAGTACAGGGATTCCCGAGGGTCCTCATTTTTTGGCATAGGATATAGCCATGGGGTTCTCTGGGGTGATCTTGAAGCCTTGGAGAGCCTGCATCGCGACCATGGACTGGCCGTCGTCCTCAAACTCCACAAAAGCAATGCCTGGTTTGGCTTCGATCATCCGGACTTCCCTGAAGCCAGGGTACTGCTGGAACAGGATCTGGAGCATCATGCTCGTGGTCTGGTCTGGCAAGTTCTGGATGAAGAGGATGTTGTTCGGAGGAGCAGGTGGCTCTTGCGAAACCTTGCCCAGACGAGACGCTTGATAGCCCTGTATACAAGTTGTCAAAGAAGCTCAACCATTAGTAGGCGCATAAAGAAACTAACACTGAGGTCTGAGATACATATTACAAATTTTAGAACTTCAGTGATAGACATTTCATTAGTTGACGTCTTTGAGATATGAAATTACATGAAAGCGAGATGATAATCCAAAGTTATTAAGTACATTAGGCCTGTTTCAATTCAGATACATTATTATACATAAGGATGCCGATCCATTCAGGGAGGCTATTGTAAGATGAAGAGTCATTAACGTGAGCTTGATAGTTGATTCTTGATGGCTAGATGGGTGAAATCATATGACAGCAGATTTTATCAGCACATGGGTGAGCTAATGTACCTAAACCAGAATTAAATATGGGAACACAAGAGGTTTTCTTAGACTAGTCTCACTCTCAGAATACTTAACAAACACCTTAGTGAGCAGACAGTAGTTTCTTTTCCGCCATGACCACATAGACCAATAAAACTCAAACAAAACTTTACAATTGTAGACAAAATTCATAAACTCCCAACACTACCTTGAATCTTTCAATGATACCACTGAGATTTGCATAACAACTGCTACAACTAAATATGTTGGTGGTTGAACTCAGTGACCTGTGGATGGGCCTGGTGCTTTGTACTCTAATTTTTTTCCTAGGAACCCCACCTAACATCACCTATATGCTGATGTGTTGGCAACTTTATGTACAGTTCTGAACCTAACAGGTATTAAAAGGGCATACCCAGTGCAGAGAGCTCCCGCTCTATGCGGGGTCTGAGGAAGGGTGTCAGTGGCAAGCCTTACCCTCGCTTGTGCAATGCGAGGAGACCGTGACTCGAACCCGGGACCTTCCGGTCACAGGCGGTAAGACTCTACCGCTTGCACCAGGCCCGCCCACAGGTATTGTTTATCTAAATCTAATCTAAATCTTTAAAATACAACCTAATTGTACCAAATCCGTGGCAGGCCTGTCCTCACCTTCCAGGTGACAGGAGTTAGGGCAAAAAGAATTATGGAAGTACAAAAGTCAAAGTACTATCTGCTAACCTTATTAAAAAAGGATAGCGTTCCACTTTGATTTTCCTTTTCTTATTATAAATAAATAGAATGGCCAAAAGAACAAAAAAAACTACTGCAAATAAAATGACAACCACAACAGTAATTAGCAACTCTTAGCTGTCAAGTACAATATAGGCAGAGGTAAATTGCTCATTTAGAAGAATTCCACGTGAGTCTGTGAGGGCAAACACTATCAAATTCACCAGAAACTTGCAGCTCAAAAATACAGGATGATTGAACTATATATTGTCAAAGAATATTCTAGATTCTAGAAGGGAACAATTTTAGACAAGGAAGCAACAGTAAACAACCGCAGAGGTCAAATTCAAAGAAAGTTGACACCTGACTACTGCATTGACAAGTTAGTATTATTAAAGTATTGGAAAAATAATATAGTTTTGCAAACTACTTTGGGTTTCCAAAACTTCTGGATGTTTGGATGCAATAAACCTCTTAGTTTTTAAAACTATGGTATTGTCAAAACCATAGTCTTTTTTTGGAGTTTTAGAAACTCCATTCAAGACCTCTTTTTTTCTAAACCACGGTTTTGCAGGTTTTTGGCTTATAAAACTACCGTTTCTTGATACCAAAGTTTTCTAAAACTACAACATCCAAATAGGCCACAAGAAATGCTTGAACATAGTCAGATCCTGACATAGTAAGCCTTTATACTTACAGTTGGTCCCTAAAAGCAAAGCAATCTAGTGTAAACCCGTTCAGGTAGGTTGGAAAGACATTTACTATCACTCAGAATAATGGTAGTCCAAACCCATGTCACTAGGTCATTCAGACATTTTTTTAGAAAAAAATACTGAGCAGTGAAATGCATATGCAGACTTTTTATATTATGAACATAGAACCAAACTAATCACATAATAATAAGCCATAGACCTTCGTGTGTACATGGGCACAAATAAGATGACTCGAACAGAATATAAACTTTATTATAACTAAATGCAGCACTAAAATACATGAGGTCTAACAAAGGACAGGCTAGTGGCCTAGTAGAATAGGCAAAATTCGGTAATGCAATGAAACAACAGTTGTACTAGTATTGTGACAACCTTATTAAATAACAAAGCATGAAAGCAGCAGTTAAAAGGAAATAGGGCTTCTAAAGCAGAAGTAAACTTACAGTTCCATTGCTTTGGGCAGCAGAAGCATTGGGGCCAGCTTGTTGTGCCTCTTCTGCTCGTCGTTTTTTCTCAGCAGCTAAAACAGAAACAAGAGGTAAGTTGAAAAACTAGTAAGTGCACATTTTTCAACACTCCAAATGTAAAAATGGAGGATAATAAAATTAATTCCTGATCCCATAACTCAAATAGAGCCATGGCAAAGAAATAAACAAGTTCAATATATGAAGAATTATGACAGAAATAGGATGTAACACTGGACTGCTTCCCTTTGCCCAACTACTAGCTAGCAGTCCAAACACATGCCCATGGGATAATAACAGACTCCCGCATACGAAACAGCAGAGGTCTGTTGGAACCGAGTCACTCTAGCTCACGCCGGACGGAGCTACATGATGAACAGTGGGCAAGATAGATATGCCGGCGACGAACGCCTGTATCTTGGCTTCTATATTAATCAAAGCATCACTTGGAACAACTCACACAATGCTTACAAGCCGGCTTTATAGCCCACACTAACACAACACCCATGCAGCCTTGCCCATCAATACGAGCACGAACGCTTCGTGCTGGTGACCGCGAACTCATGGCCACGAGCCGCTGCTCTCTCCACAAGAATAGGTCTCCATCTTGACCACAGACTTGGGCCATGAGCCATTGCTCTCCACAGGAATCAGTCTCCAGCTTGACTGTAGACTTGGCACGCATGCATATTCTAGCCTTCGTCGCCGAACGTCGAAGACCTGGCCAACACCGACTCGATGCACACCAGCGCATGCACATTTGCATGCAGCCGCACGCACCACGACCGAACATGGCATGGTTTATTCCAACAAGGTCATCCTTGAATTAAGAATTCAGGTCCCTAATATTGCATATGATACTGAAGGCTATTTAGCATAAACTCCTTTAAGTTACATAATCACACTGATAAGATAGGACCTAAGTTGACTGCTTTTTAAAGTTAGAGACCAAGGGTGTGTTTGGATCTTTTACTGGTTACTGTGTAGCCTAGGCGAGGAATTGGCAATTTGGCATTGAACAAAGCATTTCGATGTACAGCCATCTTTATTTTCAGGGCCTGTGTTTTCCAGCATTTTCCTTGCCAACTCAAGCAAGCCAAATTGGCTCTCCAGCCCTAACAAGGCTAGCCTTGCCCAGACATGCAAGGTAAGCAATGCCAGCAAACAAACTAGACGTGCCCCCAAAATGGAGGGCGCTCAAGTTTAGATAGAATAAGATAAGTGGAACAACATGTAAGTTCAAGGACATATGTCATAGTTCACTATCACAAACAACGAGGAAGGGTTAATTTTATATTTAGGTCAGGTATAGAATTACACACATTTAGTAACCTAACATATAAACCAGTATTGTTGATCAGTTATAACATCTGAAACACCAGGTCTTGTCACATTAATCATGATCTGGAATATAATAGCTGAACGATGTAGATGTAGTTAGAATTACCTTTCTCCTCTTGCTTCTTCCTTTTCTCCTTAGGAGCATAAGTACCATCTTCTTTTGCAATACAATCTGATTTTGTTTTTGCATATTGTACTCGCTGTACAAGGGAAGAAAAATTAAAAAGTTAGTTCTGAACCCTCATACATGACAGCACATATTATTAAGCCTCCAATACTGATTTCTTAAAATAATGTGACTAGACGGTAAGATAAATATTGTTTGACTTTAAAGGTAAAGAAACAAGACGCTTCACCAAGAGCACTAGACAAGGATATGTCCTTCAGTTGTTTAGTGTTTAGATATAAGAGGTAACGAGTGCATACTTCCTATAAAATAAAAGCAAAGATGTGCGCTGATCCAAAAATATAAAGAACGTGTGCCTATCCTATCACTCTATGGAACTCAACATTCAATAAAAGTATTGAGAAAGGTAAGCCTCTTCCGCTTCAACACTGACCAGTTATTATGTGCCACTAGATGTCTCGACAACATATGGATGCTTAACTGAGCAATAAATCGCAGAGCCAATTGCAAAACTTAAACTTTTGCAGGCCTACACTGCACTAATGTCTGGCTCAATACTCAAAATAGGATATTGCTACACTCAACATACAAACAAAATGACCAGGAAAAACAAATCTATGAAGCACCTCATGACATGAAAAGGAAAAACAAAATATAAAAGACTCAGGAAAATTATCAAATAAAATAAAGGTGCAATACCATTTTTTTGCCATAGAAATCGAAGTCTTGCAATCCACGGAAAGCATTGGTAGCAGCTGTAATTTCGCTAAACACCACCCATGCTTGCCCCCTCAATTTTTGAGTTTTCAGGGCCACCACATCCATTATCCTTCCATACTGTGAGCACAGGGCATAAAGCGATCTCTTCAACTCTGCGCAGAATAGAATCATGCATTTCAGCAATGAACAAAACGATGGTTCAAGTTGATTAAACAAAATCAAGATACCGTATTCCTGAACACGTTTAGGAGCTTTTGGTCACTGGGCAATGATATTAGTCGGCCACACATATGACTCCCAGTACAATCAACACTACACCCCCTGACCTTTTGAGCTGGGTTGTCGCTAGGCCATCACGGCAAATGCGCAATGTTCTTGTTCTGTGGAAGAAGACAAGAATTTAACGAATTTCTCCCGAGTCCGTGGATCAAAACGCACTTAAATGTGCCACTAGGTTTCTGGCATGCGGATAGCAAGGGTTTTCCCTAATGTCGAAAGCTGACATGGCCCAGGGAGACATAGTTAAAGCATAAAAGGAGCTCAAAACCTATCAATTTCGAACTCTGCTGCAGCCAAAATCCCAAAACATTCAAAATCGCACACTACACACGAGGGAGCTAACTCAACCCTAGAGCGACGCGACGCCGAGCTAATACCCAGATCGGGAACCTAGGGTTTTAGGAGGAATTCGGCGTGTGGAGGCGGACGAGAGAGGTACCTTCTTTCTTGACCTTCTCGTTGAGGTTGTTGAGGTAGATGGTCTGGTTCGGGGGGATGTCGCCGGACAGCATCTCCTCGACCTCCTTGGCTGCTGCCGCCGCCGCGCCGCCGTAGACGAGGAGGCAGGTGCGGGTGCTTTCGGTTTCGGGCCGGGAAATTCTTGCCGCTCGCGAGAGCGTGTTGGTGGTGTCTCTTCTCTGATTTTTTTTTTTTTGAGCAATCTCTTGTCTTGTTCCCGGGCCCGCTCCAAGTCGGTGTGGGCGAACCGAGGCGTTGCGTTTGGGCTAGGACACTATGGGTGGCCTGTGTGTGTGTGGGTTGGAAGACCGTGGGCGGTAACAGTTCTGGGCCGAATAGCGGCCTGGTTTCCGAAACAGTTTCTGGATCTGGACCAACCCGAATGATGCGGAGAAGGTTGAGTTACTGAGGCCTTCTCTAGTTCCTAAAAATTTTCATGTCACATCGAATCTTGTGGTATATGTATGGAGTATTAAATATATATGAAAAAAAATTAATTTTATAGTTTGATTTAAAATCGTGAGACGAATATTTTAAGCTTAATTAGGCCATGATTAGCCATAAGTGCTACAGTAACCAACATGCGCTAATGATGGATTAATTAGGCTTAATAGATTCGTCTCGCTGTTTCCGAGCGAACTATGTAATTATATTTTTTATTAGTATCCGAAAACCCCTTTCGACATCCCCGAAACATCTAATGTGACATCTAAAAAATTTTATTTCGCAAACTAAACAAACCTTAAATGAAGCACTCAAACACAGTCTACATCGACGAATTCTTGAGCAAAACTGATGTGCGGTGTCCGAAACTCTAGCGTTTGAATCAGTCCCTTACGAGTTACGATATGAAGTTTTGACTTTATTTGAGAAACTACATATTCATCCTCCAGGGCTCATTTTCTTAGACTTAGTGTTTTGCCAGCCTCATTTTCGTTCCTCTAGCTTTTGCCCAAGTCAAAGAAGTGAAGAAAATAGCTACAGGTTGTGTGTAAAACCGACTATCGTACGTCATCCTTGTTGGACTATCTCCAATAACATCACCTAAAATATAAAATATAAGATCCATTTCATATTTTGGGTAGCGCTACAGACAAAGAGTTCAATACCTATTTTTTGTTTTCTCCGGCAATAGGACCCAAAAGAGAACCATTTCTGTAAATAAGTCTTCAGGAGAGAGGATACTCATATTTGGGTTGTGCCTCTGCTGTAACTCAAAATGGGTCTCACATATAGATATTCTGTTGGAGGCTGATACAATAACATCCACGATCCATTTTGAGTTTGGTCTCTATGGGCTCTGAGGTTTGAAGCGCTCAATCTTGCTTTGATGACGGAAGGCTGGTCTTGGCTCGCAGGACGACTAGCACGAGTCAAACTTTTTACTTCGTACATCATAATTCAAACGGCCACCCCTTTGCAGTGTCTTTACTCTTTAGATTAGAGGCTATCTTTAGCGTGCCTGACTGACCAGGCGTTTGCCAAACAGAGCGAGCAGTTAATTGCTTTGCGACAGCAGCGGAATTTCTTTGAACGGGCGTCCTGGATCCATGTAACGTCTGGATTGTTTTTCGTTTTCCTCTCCAAAGTCGGAAGCGCGCCACCTAAGCCCACCTTGAGTGTTTGGAGTTTAGCGCCCAAGTTGCTCTGCTAAATCCACTTAAAAAATCGAACAGTGGCTCCGCTTGATCTTGTTACTAGCTTTAGCTGTCTCGGGCCCGTTAATTTGGAGCCCAAAAAAGTGCTGATCGCCATGACAGCGCCACTTCCGCTTACAGGAAAACGACAGCGCATTCAAGTGGGAGTAAAATTTAAAACCGGGGATAATTAAGGCGGTGGCAGTAGTTTTGAGCATTACTACTACTAGTTGTGGAGTTTTGGCATTGTGCCAGCTGCCAAGTGTTAGTGACCAACGATGCTACTGCTGGAGGAAAGCGAATCCATTTTTTACCGTGTCAGTAGTCTTCGAGGCTAGTCGTGAGATCAGATGAGAGGCCGTAGCCAACACTCGTTGAAATTTACCGCTGAGCTTCACATCATCATATCAATCATCAGAGATGGGTGTTGCTCAAACAATGCAAGAGGCCAGTTGACAAAGCTGCAGCCAGCCCGGCCATGCAGCGTTCCTGGAAGCTGTTGGCTTCGTCGATCCATGCATCAGTGCATCACTCCGTCCTGGAATCCTGGAAAGGTTGGATATTTCTTTTTGCTCCGGATCAGCCTGCACTGCAATAATGCAGCCCGGAATAATAATCATCCGTGCATGCATCGCTACGCTGTTGCACTACTGCCAGCACTATGCAAGCCAATCTCCCTCTCATTTGCATCGCAGCATCCTCTGGTGTGCCCAAGTTGCTCTGCGCTTAATCTCCCCTCCTACCCCTGTGAATCGTTCCCCTCCCCCTCGCGCCGACGCTCACGCGAGCGAGAGACCCGAGCAGAGGGAGACGAGCGATTAGGGTTCCGCCGCCCCCTCCTCCGGATCCCAACCTCCACCACCGTATCCCGCTCGCGCCTCCTTCCTGGGTGCGACAACGACTGTCAGTCCACCCTGACCTCCAACCTGCTCGCCTCTTCCTCAACCAGATGCACCTTCCGTGAGACACCCACCAGGCCTGGTGCGACTCCCACCCCCAATAGGCATCAACAGGCATCAGGACTAAGCATCTGTGGCTGTAGCAAAGGTGAAATTTGTTTCTATTTCCCTTTATGTTCCCACAATACTGGATTGTTTGCTTTGTAGTCGATGTATGGATTTATTGCAGTAAATACCACAGAGTTGGAACAATGAATTTCTTATTACAATTACAATATATATATATATATATATGTGTGTGTGTGTGTTTTTAGATGGAGAAATCTTCAAAGAAAAGTAACGCAAAGTGGGATTTCTTTGCTGCAAAGGTTTTCAACGAGATTTGGGATTCCTTTGTTGCAAAGGTTTTCAACGAGATTTGTGTAGAACAAGTCCGTGCCAACAATAGGCCAAACCACTGCTTGAACAATGTAGTCTATGCAAATCTTATAAAGCAGTTTAATGAACGAACCAAGAGGAACTATGACCGTTTTCAAATGAAGAATAGGTGGGATACTTTGAAAGGAATGTATACACAGTGGAAGAATTTGAACATTAGAGCAAGTGGTTTGGGAAGGGATCCTTCAACTGGGTGCATTTCAGCTAGTGAAGAATGGTGGAAATAGCAAAATACGGTTAGTTATACCTACTGTTTTCAAAACATTTGATGATAATTTTATTTTTGTGTTGTTGTGTGTAATGTATGTTTGGTTCTTAATGTTTAGGCTATGCCTGGCTGTATAAGATTTAGGGATGCACCACTTGAGCATGAGGATGACCTAAGGATTATGTTTGATGCTATCTATGTAACAAATGAGAGTTCAGTTGTTCCAGGATTAGATGCATCATATGAAAATGAAGTTGGGGCAACGGAAGGTAACACAATAGATGTGGATGGGGATGGAAATGGCACTCCTAAGGTTTCACCAATAGATGAGAAGCGCGGGAAAGGCAAAGTGTTGCATGATTCCCCTCACAAAAATAAGAAGCAGAAGACCATTAAAGATCAGTGTATGAAGAGGCTAGTGAATGCATATGAATTGAAGGCTCAGAGTGGTAAAAATTCCACAACTTCTCTAGTGGTGGATCATGTTAGACAAGAGATGGCACAACTCATAGAATTAGTAATTCAGGATGGGGCTGAAGAAGGGACCGATGAACACTATTATGCCACACAACTGCTTATGAAGAAGGAGTATCATGATATGTTTATGACTTTGAAGACCTCTACTGGCAGGCTCAATTGGCTTAGGAGGGCGTGGGAGGACAGGAGGAAGCATTAGTCATTTATTTTTGTTGGTCATGTAATAGACATGTTTAAGACATATTATGTAATAAGACCCACCTTGATATTTATATTGTGTTTGTCATATGAGTGTCAATGTCTTTATAAATTTCAGTGCCCCCTGTCTACAAATATCTAGATGTATATCATCTTTTATCTTTTATAAATTGTTGTGCCTCCCTCGTCATATGACTGCCACTGTTACAGTATGCGTGCAATTGTTTTTATAAATTTTCTTTATTTGTGCAGATGAGCTCTTGTAGTGATACTGAAGAATCAAGTGGTGACATTGCGGATGGTGGTACAGATACAGAGGATGATGATGATGATTTCATGTTGCTGTACCTTGCTCTCCAGTGCATGGATGGTGGATCTGGTATGAACAAGCCTAGGACTATACCTCCTGAAACTAGAATTCAGTGGGTCGAGCGCCAACTTCAAGACAGTGATGATTGTTATGACATGTTTCGAATGAGAAGGACAGTCTTTCGACGTCTTCATGAGACATTGGTGAATGATTATGGCTTGACATCCAGTAAAGAGATATGTAGCAAGGAAGCACTAGGAATGTTCCTATGGATGTGTGGTGCACCACAATCTGTTAGGCAAGCTAAGAATAAGTTTCATCCTTCAAAGGAAACTATTAGTAGGAAGTTTGGTGAGGTTCTACAAAGTATTAATAGGATGGCAGCTGACATCATCAAACCAAAAGATTCTCAGTTTACAACTATGCATGCAAAACTTCTAGAAGATAGATTTGGCCTCATTTCAAGGATTGCATAGGTGCAATTGATGGATCACATATACCTGTTACAGTACCATTGTTTGAACAACCTAAGTACTTTGGTCGGCATGGATATGCTTCGCAAAATATCATGGCGGTCTGTGACTTTGATACGAGGTTTACATTTGTTGTCAATGGTTGGCCTGGATCAGTACATGACACCCGAATATTAATGGATACATTAGTTACATATAAGGATCAATTTCCACATGCCCCGAAAGATATGCTTAGTTGCATGCATAAAAGACTATTTGTACTTGTGTATAAATTATCTATTATACTAACACATTGTTAATGTAGGTAAGTATTATCTTGTCGACTCAGGATATCCTAATAGAAAGGGATTTCTTGCACCTTACAAGGGTCAAAGATATCATGTGTCTGAATGGAAACATGGCCACCAACCAAC